TGGTCAGACCCCGAGGACGTGGACACGTGGGCCATCAGCCCTCGTGGGGCAGGCTGGCTCTTCGGGGCCAAGGTCACCAACGAGGTAATGCTGCTTCTCTGCCCCACAGCCCGTGGGGGTGTGGGGGAGCTGGGGGGCTCAGCTCAACTCAGCTCAGCTCAGCTCAGTTCAGTTCAGCTCAGCTCAGCTCAGCTCAGCTCAGCTCAGCTCAGCTCAGTTCAGCTCAACTCAGCTCAGCTCAGCTCAACTCAGCTCAGCTCAGCTCAGCTCAGCTCAGCTCAACTCAGCTCAGCTCAGTTCAGCTCAACTCAGCTCAGCTCAGCTCAGCTCAGCTCAGCTCAGCTCAGCTCAGCTCAGCGTGGTGTTTGAATGGACCACGGGTACTGCAGTGAACTCCCCTGTTCTGCCTCTGCCACTGACTCGTGGTGGTGGGGAAGCTTTGCTGGGAAAAAAGAGCCACTTGAACCTAAAAGCCCAAATACAACTGCCAGACATACTAATAGCCTTCTTGCTTTTAACAAGTGTAATGTGAGAATACTGTCCCTGGGCTTTGTGTGAAATGCTTTCCTAAGGATTTAGGAGAAAAATACCATTTTTCAAGCACTTCTTGAGTGAATTTTGTTGTGTCTGCACTAAGCAGACTCCTCAGGGCTCACACCCTGGCCTTGCCAGGCTCTGGCCTGGCCATTCATGATGGCCACACTCGCCCTGCATTGTCGTGTGCCCTCCACGTTGAGAAAGGGTCAGGCCTGGGGTCAGCACAGCCCTGCTGCCTGCATTTCAGTGTTCCTCAGTGTTGGGYTTTGCCCCCTGTATTTCACAGGGGTTTCTCACTGCTCCCAACCCCTCCATTCTGTTCTCCACCGTGGGGGCTGTGGCTGGAGCAGGACAGTGTGGGCAGCAGCACCTCAGACCACGCTGACCTCCCCCTTCCCTTGCAGTTTGTGCACATCAACAACCTGAAGCTGATCTGCAGAGCGCACCAGCTCGTCCACGAAGGATACAAATTCATGTTTGATGAGAAGCTGGTCACGGTATGGTCAGCTCCCAACTACTGCTACCGCTGCGGAAACATCGCCTCCATCATGGTCTTTAAAGATGTAAATACACGAGAACCAAAGTTATTCCGTGCAGTTCCAGACTCAGAGCGTGTCATTCCTCCCAGGACAACCACGCCGTACTTCCTCTGAGCCCTSGCCCGCCTGCTCTCACCTCTCCCTGCCCTGCCCCTTTACAATATACTTTTTATTGAGCACTTTGCTGCTGAAATGCTGCCTCTTGCCTTTTTTATTTTTAAATTATCTAAATTTATTGTGTATTATGGTGTCTGTAGCAAGTTTTTTTTTTTTTCCCCCCCTCCCCTAGATTAATTTCAGAGTATTTGTAATATGTCCTTGAGATTTGTACTACTGCATGTAGTCCTCGCCTAGTCCTGGGTTAGATGAACGATTCCTTTAACCACCACGCTCCGGGAGCCGCTCGGGCCCGTCTCTTGTTCAGCTTTTTGTGTTTGGTAAGTTTTAAGAAATTTCAGCAGCAAAGTCAGTGCCCGGTGAGCGGYGGGGCCGGGGCTGCCCGTGCCGCGTTCAGCCTTTTCCGAGTGTTACGTGGATCCCAATAAAGCGGTGGAAGGGCTGTTCCCCGTTCCCGGTTTGTTCCGTTTTCCTCGGGATCCCGGATAACCCGCGAACCTGCTGCAGCGACGGGATTTGTACATTAAAGTCATTGTTCGGATTTTTTCCAGGCTCCGTTGTGTTTTTCCTGACCCGCTGTGTG